GGCGAGGCTGGACTTTGTCATGTTGGGGAAGAAAGCAGGATTCTGACTGCCATTTTCTGTCCAGCATGCTCATTGCTCCTGGCGTTGGGAGTCGCTGGGTTTTCTCCTGAACCTTTCCTACATGCCTTTGCCCCCTCATTCACACACATGTGAGCATGCAAGCACACTCATACATACACACACATTCATGCATACACACTAACATGCAAGCAATGTCCTACACACATGAACATGCTTTGCATACACATGTGAGTGTGCTCATGCACACACAGGTGCATATGCTAGCATACTCATGCACACATGTACACAGTCTCCCCCCACACCTCACATGTGCATGAGCACACACACACACACACACACACAGGGTGGGGCCCTAATTCAATATAACCAATGTTCACAAAAGAGTGGAAGAAGCACCAAAGATCTCGCTCTCTCCCTGAATACTCACAGAGGGGAGAGCAAGCGAGACCATAGTGAGAAGGCAGGCCATCTACAAGCCGGGGAGAGGCCTGAGAAGAAAACAAACCCGATGGCCTCTTGACCCAGACTGCAGCCCCTGGATCTGCAAGAAAATGAATGCTTGTCGTGCAGCCCTGCAGCCTATGATTGTTGGTTATGGCAGCTTGAGCCGACAAGACGCCTGCCTGGGTAGGACAGGACTGAGCACTGCCCAGCTGTTCATCCACCAGAGTGGTGGCATTCGCTCATCTCAGCTGCTCCCAAGTGCGCAGATACCTGGTTAAAACTGTCCATCTATGGAGAAAGCAGACTGCAGAACACAAAGATGTAGACAAAGCTCCACACTGGTATCCTCACGTTGTCAGAACATCCCAGGCTGATGATACACAGTGTCTATGCAATTCCAGCCAAAATCCCAATCCTGCTTGTTTTGAATCAATGAAGTCATTCACAAGAGCATCTCAAAGAATAGGCAAAACTACTTCGGAAAAATAGGGGATGCTTGGCCTTTGGGTATTAAATTAGAGTAAAATCCTCAGCAATCAAAACAACCTGCTATTGGCATAATGACTTAGAAAAGATCAAGCTATAAATGTCAAAAAGAGATTCTAAAATTGAATTTTTTTCATTTGGGGGGAAAATTTTTCTAAGAGTGAAAACGATGGACATGAAAAATCGTTTTATTGGGACCAGTAGATGGCATAATGGTTATGTCACTGGACTCCCATATGGCCCACCGCAGTTTGTATCCCAGACCCGGTGGTTGAAACTCATGCCAGGTGTGCGTGCCCAAAATCCCAAGAGGAGAGTGAAGGAGAGGGGACTGTGGAGTGGCCATCTTTCCTTATGGATTTCTCGCTTTCTGTCTCTCCAGCGAGCACACACGCCCTGTAGTAAAAACCTCTCTCTCAAAAATACACACACACACACACACACACACACATGCATATACACACATACAGAGGGATATACTTGTGACATAGGTAATTTCACATTATATAATTTTAAGATATAAATAAGTAAAGTTGAGAGACCAACACGAATTATCGAAGTTATTGGCACATCAAGGGCTGCCTTCATTCAAATGGCTATTTAAGGCACGTGTTCCTGCAAACTAACATAAACACAGACCCAGAGGAAAGGGAGCAAAAGGTGCCCTCCACTGGCAGACAGCTCACACTTGAAATCCAAATGCCAGAAACCGACTTGGGGTCTGAGAAGTGACACCCACAGTCACCGAGCAAATGTCTCAGTAGGTTTCAGGGCTGGCCTTGGTCCTCGCTCCTAGGATCCCTAAACACTTGAAAACTGAGTGAAACATCTCCTCTTTGGGAATGGCATGTGAGCTGCTTGCTTGGAAAACATCAGTGTTTGTGTCCTAATTATTGCGACGTCCAGATCAACAGGATCTGAATCACAGTGACGTCTAGGGAGTCACATAGGCCCCAGGGAAAGGACAGGAGGTTTGAGTTCCACAGGGAGCTGTCCTCAGTCATCCCTGCCAGCAGCAACAGCAAGGCTCAGAAACACTGGGAGCCTGCCAGGCCTTGGTCCCGTTGACCAAGGGACGGGGCCTGGTCTGGGTCTGGTTCCTACAGCCAGTGTAGCTGGATGCAGTGGGAGACTCTACCAGGCCATTTTTCGGGTACCTGACTGTATTCTGAGCACAGGACCCTACAGTTACAGCTTGGCCGAGTTACACAAGTGACCTCTGCCTTGGGGGGTGGGGGGTGTCTCATGCCACAGCTTCAGTGATGGTCACTGCCCTGAACTCCAAGCACCCCACTCTTACCAGGTCCTGCAGCCTCGGGTAAGTCATCTAACACTCTGTGCCTCAATGTCGCCCTCCATAAACAATGGCTGCCAGCATCACCTCTGGATCCAAGGCCCCGAGCCATCTGGCCCTGGGGCATCGGCAGTATTCTCCACCTTGCCCCTGGTTGCTTCTCCCCCCAGGGCTCTGTGCACCTCTGGGAATGCCCCTCCTCTTGGTGAGCAGTGAGGATTCTGGGGAAGCTCAGCCCAGGTTGGGGGCTTCTCTTCACCCCCCTCTATACAGAATGCCGGGGAGAAGCTGAGTCCTTCCTACTGACCTCTGGCCACACGCAGCCACTTCCGATGGCTGATACTGCCTGGTGGTGCTGAGTGTCCTGTCCCTTTCCAGGCAGCGTCGTTGCCATGGTTACAGATGCACGGCCAACCTCACAGGGCTCCAAGCGCGGGGCAGCCCTGCCCCTGGCCTGCGGCAGGCAAAGCAGGACGGGCCAGACAGCTCTGCTTGGCCTCTCACTCTGGCCATTCTCTATCCTGTGCTCAAGCAAGGCCCTGCCTTGCTGTTTTGACAGCACACTGCACCCAGCTCCCGAGTGAAAACGTCCAGGCCTGGTGTTGGCGACGCAGAGTCCAGCCGGGCTCCCGAGTGCGTCATCCTCCGAATCTGGGGTTTCTCATGTGAGAATAGGAATGCAGCCAGTGTGCCAGGATGCTGTGAGATGAGCTGGGGTAGCTTTCCAGCCATCATGGCCCACAAGCCAGGGGCCGCTACCCCTGCCCTGATCCCCTAACCCAGGCTTGAGAGCTACCGCTGACCCCCGTGCCCGGTTCCTACAGTGCCGCTGGTTCCCATGTGGCTGAGCCCAGGGTCTCATCCCTTTAGAGCTTGCTCAGTGTGTGTGTCTGGACAGGTATGCAGTAAGTGAGCACATGTGTGTGTGTGCACTAGCCTATGTGAAGGGGCCCATCACACAAGGAGCTTATCCCACACCATGGCCCCACCCACCTAGAACCTTGAGGGTTCTCTGGGTTCAAGGAGAAGGAGAAAGGTCAAGGAGAAGACAAAGGTCTCCAGGCCATTGGGATCAGCAGTTAGCATAATAGCTATGTCACTGGACTCCCATGTAATAAACCACGGTTTGAGTCCCAGACGCAGCAGCTTAAACTCACGCCGGGTGCATGTGCATGTGTGCCCAAAATCCTGACAGGAGAATGGAGGAGGAGGGATTGCAGCATGGCCATCCCCCCTGGGGGGTGATTTCTCGCTTTCTGTCTCTCTATCTCTGTCTTTCTGGGGAGTACACATGCCCTATAGCAAAAACCTCTCCAAAAAAATAAATAAATAAAATAATAATAAAAAAAAGTTCTCCAGGCCATTGAATATCCATGGACCTCAAGGCTGGGACTCCATGCCAGTGATGGAGTACCTGAAGCCCGTAGCCCCAGAGTGACCAGATGGCATTCATAGGAACCCCCTTACTGTTGATCTCGCAGATAGGTATAAGACAGGCTGCCTGAGGAACAGAGGCCCAGGGGGCAGGGGGCGGGGTCCACAGTGAACACTGCAGTGTCCTGACTGCTCCTACAATGCCTCTCTACTAGAAGGAATTAGGGTCTCTTGGAGTGATGGCTGACTCCAGAGCCAGGGCAGGAAGGGACACCTTGTCCCACCTGAAAGCCAGAAAGCTGAAAGGACAGCTGGGACTTGGAGACAGGCTCCACCGGGCAAAGACAAGACAAGGGGGATCTCATTAGGAAAACCAAAGGCTGCAGATTGAAACGTAAAAACTCAAGCAAAACGAGGCTCACAAAACTTCTGGTCACTGTCAGACACACCAACTAACGAACGAGAAGGGGATCGCAGACCCGCGTGAACCAGCTGACTGGCTGTGCATGCTAACAACAGACATCCAGGAATGGCCTTGCCAGCAAAACCAGGCAAACTACCCACTTACAGAGGGTACGCTAAACCACACCACAGGCACACTCAGCAAATCCAGGTGGGGCGGGTCGACAGACAAACCACCAAGTTTCTTCAGGAAAACTGCCAGGAAGGCAGACAGTGCTCGGATAAGGAGCTGATACACTAAGATGGGGGTCCCCACCTCTGAGGCTACGGACTGGTATCAATCAGTCTGTGGCTTGACAGGAACCAGGCCACGGAGCAGGAGGTGAGCAGCAGGCAAGTGTAGCTTCATCTGTATTTTCAGCTGGTCCCCATCATGCGCATCGTCCTGGGATGGGGCCTCTTACCACATGGACAACTTGTCTCCTGCCTCCCTGACATGGACACAGCACTATGCTCTGACCAAGAGCCTGCTCCACAGTGATCTCGGGTGACCTTCATCCCAGCCTGTGAGCTGGTCACATAGAAAGTCTTCCCCGGCAGAAGTGTGTTAGCAAATACATGACACCCTCCTTGGGCAGGAGGAGACGTCTTGACTTGTAGCATTTCCAATGTCCTTGGTGTAAAGAGTCTTGCTAGGGTCCTTCCATCATGGCATCAACTGGCTCATAAAAATTTAAAAAATTGGACAACAAGCTGTCATGAGCCAAATTTAATGATCAGTCACACTGAGCCTGTGTAAGCCAGTTCAAGCTGGCTCCAGCGCCTCCTACTGGGTTTGCTCAGACTCAGCACTTACCTCTGCTGTGGTCCACTGTGGCCTTGCAGCTGCAGCTCACTGCTCTGTGTGGTCTGCAGGAGCCAGGAGGTGGGGTTTAGGCTAGGCTGCAGAGTTGAAGACAACAGCATCCACACCAACTGATTTAAGCACAACAGATTTATTGAGCATTCACAGAAAACTAGAGAGAATAACAGAACCCGATCTTGGGCCGAGCTTCCTGGAGGGATGACTCTGAAAACCATCCCCAGGCCTCTGCCACGGTCAGAGAGCTGTCACAAGTCCAGAATGTCCCACGTCCATCACAATCTGCACTGCAGCATGGCCGTCTCATGCCCCACCCTCTCCCTGGGTAACTCAGTCCAGAATGTGCCCGCACATCTGCCTTCCAGGACAGAATCACATGGAGACCCTGGGGAGTGTGTCCTCAGCCTCCCAGACCTGGGAGGGCCAGTTCGCCATGTCCAGCACAAGGGGAGTTTCGGGTCCTACCTCTGTGCTCACTGCATGGCAGCTCACACCTGCTCTTGGGAACAGGCCACATGTCTGGCTCAGAATTCCCCAGGAGGTGGGCCCTTTGCTGCTCCCACCCAGGCTTCCACAATGCTCTTTCAATCATTTTGTCAAACACCTGGGGAGAGCTACCCAGCACGGCCAGTCAGCCAGAGCCTGTCATGGGGCATCCGCCTGAGTGCTCTCAGACCTTCCTGTGGGTGGAAACCAGACCCAAGCTAAATGTGAACTGCCCATGCTGCCTGCTTTCAGCCTAGACTCGCCATCTCCCATCCTGAGCGCCCTCTTGAACAGAATCAGGGCTTCCTGCTTCTTCAGGTAAGAACATACCAGTTTATCTCCATTTCACCATTGTCTCCCCTCACTGCTGGCCAGCTTAGGGGTTCCCTGATGGAAGATGAGCCCTAGTTTCTCTCTTCTGGTGGCCTCTGCAGAGGGGCCAGCAGTTTGTCAGAGTTGGGCTCACCTTCACAGGGCAGTCCAGGAGAGGAGCCCCTTCACTCACCCACAGATGCCAGCATGCCAGGCCCCATCCTTCCTCCAGCCTCCAGCCAGCTCTGCAGGGGCCTCTGAATGGTATCTTCTGGTCCTTCCCGAGGGAGCTCACCCCCAAGAATAGTCCCAAGACTCAGGGTGATCCTGCTGGTGGCCATGTCAGACTCTAGCCCATTCCCTGCTACAGGACCATTCAAAGGGAGCTCCAATGAGCAGAAAGGAGCTTGGAATCCCAAGTGTTAGGGTCCCTGTGGTCTTTCCTAGAGAAGAGGTGACCTCCCCTGAGTCCACATGGGGTTGGGGGTGGGCTCAGAAAGGCTAGTAGGGCAGGGCAGTTTAAGAAAGATGATTCTGGGTTCATGAAGAGGGGCAGAGCCTTCCCGGCTGGGGTGGCCCAGAAAATTGGGGTGGGAGAAAGAGCTCTCACCTAGTTCCCTGGTATGTCCTAAGAAGTCACACAGGGTAGAATCCAGGCCCTAGGCTGATTCTGGGATAAGAGCACATGAAGATCTCCCTGGCAGCAGGGAGAGCCCCTGCCAGTGTCAGATGGGACTGACCAGCATCCAGGACCCAGGAGGCTGAGGCAGAAGCCTGGCCTTCACTGCCCAGGCCTCCGTGACTTCCCGAATGCAGGATCCCATCTATTGGGTGAACCCCTGGAACAACCAGCTCCTGGTGTGCTGGGGCCCCCTCCTCAGTATGCATACCCTGGGATGGGAAGGGGGCTGCCACAGACCCAGGTCATCATGTGTGTCTATAGCCAGCTGGTCAGGCCAGCAGAAGCATCAACCCGCAGGGCATCAGGTTCCTAGTGCAGCAGACCTGAGCCCTGCTTTGCACTCATGCTCCCCACCAGTTCCTCTCCAGGACCTAGGCAGAGCAGCCCCACCAAGCACCAAAACCTGGACCCCTCCACTCACAGACAGAGAGCTGCGCACCTGGCTCTGCACAGGCACCCACGCACACCCACCCTGGTGGGGACGCCAGCCCGGGAGGGTCTTCAGAATCTGACAGTCATTTCTTTTTAATGCTCCAAAACCAAAAAATCATGCTTTTGTTCTGAAGAGCTGTCCCAATCTCTGCTGCAGTGCAGCTGTTACGGGTCACACGGCCGTGTGTGCAATGGGCGCACGGTCAGAACACAGTGGTGCTGGGACTGCCATCCTGGGCTGTGAGGACGGGCATGCAGGCTTTGGACAGGCTCTCGCATTGCCAGTGCAGGTCACGCGATACCTCCCACAGACCACTCTCCATCTCTAGTCGCTTTCGAGCATCTGCTGGACGAAAAAGCACCTACACTTCACAATTTATGTCCATAAACAATTTACACTTATTTGCTCTTCCCCCTAAAATATCTGAAATAGTTTAAAATATAAACACTGATACAAAAAGACAGTAAAAAATAAAATCAGAAGTTAGAGTCCTATAGGTGGAGGCTAGGTCTGCCCTGAATGCGAAGTAGTACAGGTAAGAAAATCAAGTGCTAAATCAGCTCTGAGATTCCTGGAAGCAGAGGTGAAAAGAGAGTACTTGTTGCTGGACAGAAGGAAGCATTCCATGGATTGGCCTTGTGATATCGAAAAGCAATCTTCCATCTCTCAGAGAAGAGCTGCTTTAAGTATCAGCAAGTAGAAAAGCAAAAGGCACATTAGTGGCCCGTGCGGACAGTCCTTCCGCCGAACAGGCACAGAGTGGCAGGAAGCGGGAGGGCCGTATTTGTCTGGCTGAGGGCACTGCCCTCCAGGGGCCACGCTGGGCCTTTCTCAGGTCTCTGAGTTTTTCTCCCCCTCACTGGTCTGAATTTTGGCACAAGTGTTACTCAGAACAAATATTCTGGGAACAAATAAGGTGTGGAAAGGTTAGTGTGAGCTACACTTTCACCCACCTCTCTGGAAACGCGAGGTCTCTGACTGGGCTCTGGAAAAGGGTTTATGTTCAAACGGACTCGGGAGGTACTAGGGATACAGCGGCAGAGGCGTTATCAGTGCCTTCCACAAGCAAATCCACACCTGCATCTCGTCCTGGAGTCTCGCTCAGGCACGCAGGTGTCCTTCCTTGGCGTCCTGTGGGTGCCCATACATGGGAGAGGCTCACAAGTGGGAGAAGGTGGATGTCATGACAGATAGCCTAGGTTTGTGTCATACGGGCAAGTCAATCCATTTCTCTACACTTCGACTTCCTCCTCTGTCACAAGTCTGATAGTGAAACAGCCTGATCGGAGATGCTGCAGGCTAATGCAGTGTGTGAAGGAGCCCACGCCAAGGTGGACAAACCGGCGCCACTTCAGGAGGGGCTACATGAGCACCCGTCAGTCCCACCTGCTACGATAGTGGGACACTGGGCTGTGGGTCTGTCTGACATGGCATTAGGGCACTGGGCCGATGGGGTCTTTGGAGACAGGGGCACTGGGCAGGGACTTGAGGTACTCCAGGTGCCTCCTGGCATCCTCCTGGTTATGGCGCACATAGTACACAACATAGGTGATCACCATGGCGAACCAGCCAAACATGGTGACCAGCATGGCCACGTCAGTGGTCCTGTGGTGGACACTGCAGAAGCTGACTCCCGCGTCCAGGGCCTGGACCAGTGGTTTTCCCACATACTCCTCCCGCACGGAGGTGTGGCAGGCAATCTCATCCACCGAGTCGGGGTCCAGCTTCAGCTCCCACAGGGCCTCCTGCAGGGCACACTCACAGTGCAGGGGGTTGTGGGACAAGCGGATCTTGGCACTGAGCTTGCCCAGGGCATCCTTTGGGATCCTGCGTATGCGGTTGTGGGACAAGTCCAGCAGTCGCAGACCCCCGGCAAGGCCTGAGAAGGCAGCGGGGCCGATGGTCTCTATGGCGTTCTGAGACAAGTCCAGCTCTCTCAGCTGGCTCAGATGCTGAAAGGCTCCATTGGGGATGCGGGAGATCTTGTTGGCATCGAGCTTCAGGAGTACAGCATCGGCAGGAATGTCCTTGGGGATCTCTTGCAGGCCCCTCCCGCTGCAGTGGATGGCCACAGCCCCGGCATGGTCAGGGCACTGGCAGGTCTGTGGGCAGGAGGTGCCCAAGCGCAGACAGAAGAGGAGGAATAGGCAGGACCCTCGGGTGGGGATCGGCAGGGAGAAGGGGCTCTGTGTGCCCCTAGGGCCCATCCTGTCAAGGCCTGGGGACAGATGGTGCACTCCCCTCGGCTCAGGCCTGCAGGGCCATGTTCGTCCCCACCATGTGAGGAATCATCCCACACAGACACAAATTCTCCTTCCTTAGATGCCAGAAAAAGCCATGTACTCTAAAAGAGAATGGGAAAGAGAGTGAGGGGGAGTGACAGGAGGAGCAATCTGCCTTGTCCACTGTGGTCCCATTGGGGATCCAGGCATAGTGGCTAGGTAATCTGACCAGGGCTGTCACACCCCCATAATTAATTCCCGGACACTCCCAGTGCGACCAGAGGGGGCATCTCAAAGCAAAAGACAGCTGGTGCTGAAGGCTGGGGTAGGCAGAGGCTAAGCAGAGACCTTGCAGCCGTCCAGTCACCCCACCAGTCAGCTGAAGATCAGAGACTGGGATATCCGCCTTGCTCTCCTTGGGGCTGGAAACCACGAGGATGCTGCAGGAATTTTTGGTTAACAAGCGGGAGCGCTTAGTCAGGCCAGGTGGGCAGGTGACCGAGGGGGCAGAACACCTGACAATCCTTATAAATTGTAATGCAAAAAAAGCCCTCTGCCCACCCTGAAGCAATAGCTCCCGCACCAGGACCTATTTCCATTATGTTGGAAGGAGGAAAAAGGGAAAAGAGAAAAGCCCAGCCCAGGGCGCGTGGCCAGCCTGGGCGTGGAGTGGCGGGGCCACGCAGAACCCAGTCAGATGGGGTTCAGATATTAGGACCCCGACCCCAGGGGCGAGGGTGAACAGGGCTGGGGGCAGTCCACGCTCCGGGGGCAGGGCAGGGCAGGCGCGGCGGGCGCGGGCTTTACCTGTACGGCCACGGCTGGA